TATATATAATAAAAAAATAGACCGAGCCGATCGGGTTAACTCGACCGAAATGGACGAGTTAACTCGACTAACTTAGACGCTAGGCGGCCAAATCGGCCGAGTTAGGCGCTAGGCAGACGCCTAGGCGGCCGGTAACCTAGGCGGGCGCCTAGGGGGGAAATTGCCACGGTCTAGAGGCGCCAAGCGCCTAGGCGGGCGCCTAGACCGATTTTTACAACCCCGTTTCCAATAGCAGTGACATTATATATAACGTGATGGTTTATTCACTTTCATTTTCTTGGTTAGAGTATTCATGTCATCATGGTTGGGGGCATCTATTTTAGGTCTTGGGGAATGGTTCATCAAAAGAATGCCTTTTGTATGTCATATCTATAATGCCTCTAAGGAATTTAGTTCTGCCATATCTTAAGGTCTGTTTATTGATTTTCTGCTCTAGTCTTTTCATCAAATGGCTCACTAGTACAAAATTGAATGCTAAATTATACGAGTATAATATATGCATGCTAACTGTTAGGAATATAGCGGAATAATGCGGAAGTGAAGAATCGAAAATTGAGAATTATAGAAATTAAATAATAGGAAAATATATAAATGACATCAATAATAAGTAACAATGGAAAATATAAAATATATCATATATATATATATATATATATATATATATATATATATATATATATATTAATCTCTCAAAAGAGAATATAAAGGAATATATATATATGTATATATATAAATCTACATGAGGGAGAAAGAAAGTATGTAAGAGAATGAATTCACAATTGATATTGATACCTTATTACAAACAAAGCAAAAGCTATTTATAGCCTAAGAAAAGAGAGAAAAACGGCATATGTATTGAGGACGTGTGGAGAGGATTGAGGACAAGCGCATGCAGATTGTGCAACATGGAGAGTGGACATAAATGTGTGGTCTTGAATATTTCCAAAGAATTTGAGCCACAATTCTAACAATCTCCACCTTGGATCAAATTTATTGTAGATTTAACAACTGGAACAGCCGACTAAACTCAAGCATGGCTTGAACTTAGCAATAAGAAAAGCTTCAGAATAGCATGATGGATCACCATCAACTTCCTATGCGACTGAAAGAGCATAAGCAACCATATTGGTTTCATCGTCACTAGCGTACCTAGCAGGTTTCTTGATTGTCCTCCTAGGCCGATCCATAGCAATGGAATACTCTCGTTGTGGCTCGACGAGAGGTGTTGTACTAGTAGATGCATCATCTTTAGTATTACCGTCAGCAGTAGTAACACTATCAATAGGCCTGAACTCAAACTCAACCTTTTCACCAGTACTCTGTGTCTCACCTGTACTGGGAACTTTTCCAGAAGAAAGTAGTGCATTTTCGTCAAAAGTGATATCTCGACTCAGAATGATTTTCCGAGAATCAGGAGACCATAGACGATACCCTTTTGACTCAGAGGCATAACCAAGGAAAATGCATTTGACAGCTCTCGGGTTTAATTTACTCGTACTGGAATGAGCATAAGCAGGACATCCAAAAACTCTTAAGATAGAGTAGTCAACAGGATTACCTGACCAAACTTCCTCTGGAATTTTGAAATCAAGGGATGAATGTGGAGATCTATTTACCAAATAGCAAGCAGTAGAAACAGCCTCGGCCCAAAAATCACGCCGTTTCCATAACCCAGCATTAGAGAGCATACAACGAGCTCTTTCTAATAGAGTCCTGTTCAAACGTTCGGCAACACCATTCTGCTGGGGTTTACCAGGCAAGGTCTTGTGCCTGGCGATTCCATTTGCCGCACAAAAGTCATTGAAATCTGACTCACAGAACTCCAAGCCATTGTCTGTCCTGAGCTTCTTGACTTTTTTACCTGTCTAAGTCTCAACAAGTATTTTCCACTTCTTGAAAATAGAAAATGCCTGATTTTTATGTTTCAGGAAATAGACCCAGACTTTACGAGAAAAGTCATCAATAATAGACATAAAATATCTACAACCTCCCATAGACTGGAATTTAGTTGGTCCCCATAAATCGGAATGTATGTATTCCAATACATCTTTGGTACGGTGTGTAGCAGTAGAGAAACTAACCCTCTTTTGTTTCCCAAAAACACAATGCTCACAAAATTGTAATTTACCCGTACCTGAATCACCAAGGAGACCTTTCTTGCTCAGGAGATGCATGCCTTTCTCACTCATATGCCCCAGACGCATATGTCATAGTTGAGTGAGATCCGCATCAGACATCGATGAGGATACCGCTACTGAACCTGTCACAGTACTACCATGCAAGACGTACAGGCTTCCGAAACGAGAAGCTTTCATGAGAACAATAGAGCCTTTGATGACCTTTAGAACTCCACCTTCAGCTGTGTACTTGCACCCCAGACTTTCCAAGGTACCCAAGGATATCAAATTGCGTTTCAAATCAGGAATATACCGAACATTGGTAAGAGTCCTGATAACGTTATCATGAGTTTTAATCTGCACACTTCCAATTCCACTAACCTTGCATTGGGTATTATTACCCATCAAGACAACTCCACCATCAACCGGTTCCAGAGAGACGAACCAGTCTTTGTGAGGACACATGTGGAATGTACAACCAGAGTCCAAAATCCACTCGGTTTCACTCTGTTTCTCACCAGAGCTAACAGATAACAACACATCACCATCTGAATCACTTTCAACAACACTAGCTTCAGCGGACTTCTTTTCTCTCTCTTGCTTGTTTTTCAACTTGAAGCATTCAGTCACATCATGACCATGCTTCTTGCAGTACTTACAGGATTTGTTGGACTTGGATCTAGATTTTTTATTGCTACTCTCTGTTTCAAGTGAATGACCCCTTACAGTCAAGCCTTCACCTTTGTCCTCAGACTTAATTTCAAAGTCAAACTTTTCTTTGGACAATAGGTTTGACTTAACATTGTCGAAAGTAAGGGTATCACTACTATTACCATACAGCATAATTTCTTTGAAATGCTTGTATGATTTAGGGAGAGAGACAAGCAATAAAACAGCACGATCCTCATCGTCAATTATGACATCAATATTTTCCAAGTCCAATAAAATAGAATTGAATTCATCCAAGTGAGATTTAATAGAAGTACCTTCCGTCATACGGATTGTGTACAGACGCTCCTTCAGGCGTAGCGTGTTCGCCAGAGTTTTGGCCATGTAAAGCGTATCCAGCTTGGACCATAAATCTGACGCAGTCGTCTCACTTACTACCTCACGTATAACCTCTTTAGACAAGCACAAAAGAATGGTTGAACGTGCCTTGTCATCCAAATCTTCCCAATTTTCATCTGTCATTGTAGCCGGTTTCTTCTTCTTCCCAGCTAGCGCTTTCTTCAAACCGCTCTGGGTTAGAACGGCTTCCATCTGAACCTTCCAGATAGAAAAGCTAATTTTCCCGTCGAACTTCTCGATATCGAACTTAGTAACAGTCGACATCTTTGAAAATAATTCTCAAATAAACCGCTCTGATACCACTTGTTAGGAATATAGCGGAATAATGCGGAAGCGAAGAATCGAAAATTGAGAATTATAGAAATTAAATAATAGAAAAATATATAAATGACATCAATAATAAGTAACAATGGAAAATATAAAATATATATATATATATATATATATATATATATATATATATATATATATATATATTAATCTCTCAAAAGAGAATATAAAGGAATATATATATGTATATATATAAATCTACGTGAGGGAGAAAGAAAGTATGTAAGAGAATGAATTCACAATTGATATTGATACCTTATTACAAACAAAGCAAAAGCTATTTATAGCCTAAGAAAAGAGAGAAAAACGGCATATGTATTGAGGACGTGTGGAGAGGATTGAGGACAAGCGCATGCAGATTGTGCAACATGGAGAGTGGACATAAATGTGTGGTCTTGAATATTTCCAAAGAATTTGAGCCACAATTCTAACACTAACTTTGCTCAGATGATGGTGGTGGAATGGACACTGAAGCAATGCACCATTGTTTGAGTTTTGGATTTTCAGATAAGTCGAAGTTAGCAATTGGAAAGTGTATGTAGATGATTAATTGACATTTGTTTGACCTTTTCTGTTCTAGTTAATTTCTAACTTTCAGCTTTTCAGATGGAAATAGTTTTAAGACCAGCACTATGAGACTTGGGGCAGATGTTATTGTCTTCATCCGCTCAATAAGGAACAGGTTTAAATACGTACTAGAAGTTTTTTATTTTTGTCTGCTTCTGTTTTCTGTTTTTCTGTTTTTCTGTAAGAGATATCTTCATCATTTGGTTCTTGATATAGAGGACTTGATCCCACTTCATGCTACTCATCTTATGATTTACATAATCAATCTTCTTTCCTTATGAAGAATAGAACTAATCTTTAGAAGTATATGCACTTGGGCACATCCACTCTATAAGCTTAGCAGCAGAACCTATTCTCTTAGGGTTTGTTGTGCTATTGTTAATGCATGTACTCTAAAGTGTCATGGGATTGTGCCCTCAACAAAACAATTAATAACATACAACTTGAATTGTTTAATTTAGTTATAAATTTATTTTGACAATGAAATCTTTCTGTACTACACCATTGTAGAGAACATTTTTACTAGGAAATTTTGGAAGCATTTGAAAAAATTTCTTTTCAATTTAAATTACTCATTCTACATTAACACACTGATATATTATAATGGGTGTCTGTCCAGGAAATTGACCCAAACAATTGGTCTTCTATCTTACTCTTTTTTGACACAAGCAGGTCTTGATAGAATTGTGGTCCCCATGGTGAGTTTCTAGTTTAATTTTCTAGATCTTTATCTTATACATTTTAACTATTGCACCTAGCTTGAAGGATATTAATTTTTGCTGCTTTGAACTGAATAATTGTGCCCTTCTTTCCCATTCTGCCAAATATTATTTAGTGGCTCTGCCTTTATTTCATGTCTTAGTGTCTCAGCTTTTTGCTTAATGATGCAGATTGACTATGAGTTTAAAACGTCAACTGATGCATGGGATTCATTATCCAGAGGAAAAGTTTAAGAGTAATCTTTCTTTGATGTTGCAGTGGTCTCCATATTCAAAAGAGTAATCTTGTCATGTGTTCATTATGTTGCTATTGGTTTTGATGATATTTGTTAGTTGTTTGTTTTCACTAGTCTATTAAGAATTTAAGTTAAGCTTTGTTAGATAACGTGGATGAATTTGGTGTTAATGAATTTGTGAATCCAAAAGATCACAGCAAGCCTGTTCAAGAGGTTAGTTAGTTTCTTGGTTTGAAATGTTGGCATTGATGTTTTGTTGGTTGTTTAAAGCTGAGCATATATTTGCAGGTGATTGTTGAGATGACAGATGGTGGGGTGGACCGGAGCGTGGAGTGCACTGGAAACATCAATGCAATGATCTCCGCATTCGAATGTGTTCATGATGTAATTAACTGTCTTGCCTGCCTATTATATTATATTGTAGTATCTGAATTTAAGATCTGTAAGTCTGTGTTTCCAACTGAAACTATACTATACGATGATGACAGGGTTGGGGTGTTGCTGTTCTTGTGGGGGTGCCAAACAAAGATGATGGATTCAAGACTCACCCCGTGAATCTGCTGAACGAGAGGACTTTGAAAGGCACCTTCTTTGGCAACTACAAACCCAGATCAGACCTCCCAGCTGTGGTGGAGAAATACATGAAAAAGGTATATATGTATGGTGAATCTGAGTGAGTGAGTGGCATATGAATGAATGAATGAATATATGCAGGAGCTGGAGTTGGAGAAGTTCATCACCCACCAAGTGAGCTTCTTGGAAATCAACAAAGCCTTTGATCTGATGCTGAAAGGGGAAAGCTTGAGGTGCATTATCAAAATGGAACACTGATTCTTCATCATCATCATTAGCTCTTCTGTGAAGAAGATGGCTGGCAGAGTGTATCCCTACAAGTATGAGAGAGAGTTATAGATGGTAGCTAGGAGTAATAAGCATAAGGTTTTCGATTTGGGCCTTGATTAGGATGCCGTATCTCTTACTATTCCCATCTTCTGCTATAATTGTTAAAACAATTTTCATGATTTACTTCCTCCGGTAATGAAATAATGTGTTTTTTACTTTATATATTTATCTTCAGTGTTTTATGTATTGATGTGATAACTGAGAAGGTATGAGAATGGACTGGAACTAATTATGTTTTTTAGATTCATAGTGGTCTTCAAGTACCTAATTCTTTATTTATAGTGGTCTTCAAGTACCTAATTTGAGCAGGTTTTGGGTATAAATTGATAAAATATATTTCATATTAAAAAAAAAAACATACAACGTCGGCTATTAACAAATAGCCGATGTTGTATGTATTTTTTTTTAATATAGATACAATGTCGGCTATTACCAATTAGCCGACGTTGTATGTATTTTTTTTTTTAATATAAATACAACGTCGGCTATTACCAAATAGCCGACGTTGTATGTATTTTTTTTTTTTTAATATAGATACAACGTCGGCTATTAACAAATAGCCGACGTTGTATCTATATTTAAAAAAAAAAATTATATACAACGTCGGTTATTTATTTAGTCGACGTCGTATCATTTATATACAACGTCGCCCAGAACAACGTCGCTTTTTAGCCGACGTTAAAGGCCTTATTTAGCCGACGCTTGAATTTGATTATCTCATCTCTTTCAAATTTTGAAAAGTTTAGATAAATTGTGACATTCTATCTTTTTGATTAATTTTTCCATACCACTTCTTTGTTAGCCATCACTTGTAGCCCCATTAAAAGCTTAATAAAGTCCTATTTGATCTTAGCATGCATTCTTATATTTGATCTAGGGGAGTATGAAAGGCAAGCTTATGGGATCTCATTCATGAATCGTGTCTTGCATAATCTCAACTGAGTACTTGTGCACACTTGATCCTCACATACTTTAAATCCTTGGTGCTTGGTTATTGGCTTGGAAATGAGTTTCTTATGTGCCAAACTAATTTGATTCTTGAAGCTTACTGTTTTATAGCAAGTTGGTTGGTGGTTGTGCAAGAGAGAGAATGAGTAATTTGTATGTTTTCATTTGTGATTTTATTCCTTGGTTATGCTTGAGGACAAGCAAATGCTTAAGTGTGAGGTGATGTTATCACATCTGTGCTTGTTTTTATAGTTATTTTGAATCATCTCGGTTATTAAATTCTTTAATTTTGCTTATTTAATACATGTTTTCCTTGCTATTCTCATTAGGATAGTTTTGAATGTTTTACGGTGTTTGTTAGTGTTTTTGAACCATTGTAGGTCAAAGTTATTAGCAAGGGAAGTCTTAGGACAAATTTGGAGTCAAAGTGAACCGAATGACGCGTACACAGCACTCTCGACGCATCGAGCCTCCGGCTCGACGCGTCCAAATCTTCCAGAAGACAAAACGGGCGAGACCAACAGGTCTCGACGCGTTGAGACTTTGCTCGACGCGTCGAGCGAAACACAGCAACGCTGTAATACACAATACAAAAGGGGCTGCAACAACATTCCATAATAAACAAATGGCGGCCCATTAATTTCCATGTGATTAAAAGAAGCAATGTCCAAAGAAAGAATCAATGAGATGGCAATTTCTAAAATAAAATTAGAAAAATTCCAATTCCGCCCCAGCTTTGTACCCATTATGAAATCTCGCCTTCGTCAACCCTACTAAAAAATAGTAGTTTACAGTAAATAATTAGAATAGATAATTTACAATCCATAGTTTAGAATTCAGAGATTCTTGGAGACAAGAAGGAGAGAAATCAAGAGCCACAAGTTGTCTTGAAAAGCAAGAAGAAGACTAGGGAGATTTGAGAAAATCGTCTGGTTAATTCTTGTACTCTTTTGATGATTTGTAATTCTTTATTTATATTTGCTATGTATAATTTAGCAATGCTTGGCTAAATTCTTTAGAGATTCTTGGGTAAAAGTGTTTATGAACCTATGTGCCTGAGCTCTCAGTTTCTTTAATATATTATTCTTTGGGTTTAATACTTGTGTTGCAATCGTGATAATATTGTTTGATGCTTGTAATTAATGGCCATAGTTACTAGCTTCATAGCCATGTTTGTGTCACCAATGAGAGTTGGGGCATAAATTAGGGTACACACGATTGCACCTAATGGTTGGACCTTGGGAAAGGGGAATTTATTAGGGCGGTTTAATTCTTGATTATTGCGCATCGAGAGCTGGTAGTTGTTAGGAATTTATGCTGCTTGATCTTGTTTTATTGGGTGTTTAAGCCACGGGAGTGAAAATTCACTAGTGTTAGTGACTACGAGAGTAGCTCTATACCACCTTGCATCCTCACACTTGTTAAACCCAGATTTTAATATGGACCTTAAGATTTGACACTAGGTAATTAAATACTTAAATCCCATGAATCTCAACTTCTCTCTTATTGTTTTCAAAATCCTGAACCTCTGTTTTATTTTATTTATTTTATGACAATCAATCATCTAAGTAATTGTTAGGATTAGCTCGAATGAATAAGTTAGTAACTAGTGTTTGATACAACCACTTCCCTGTGAATCGATAGCTCGTACTCTGAGAATTATTTGTTTGCAAATATACAACGCATCAAATTGCGCCGTTGCGGGGGAAGTGGTGTTTCTAGTATTAATATTAGTGAAACCTTTATTCTAGGAGACTAGTCCATTTTTATTTTTTACTTTATTTTATTTTGCTAACCCATAACAAGTTCCTTGTTCTTGAGTGTGATTTAGTTTATGGATGGATATGAATTTCAAGGAACCATGCCACCGTTCTACCCTCCTTCTCAGTGTTATGAGATGAGTTGGAATACGAATCGGGAATATGGAGGAATGGAACAACAATTCCTTTTCTCAAATTTTGCCAACTCTAGACAAGGATATTTTCAAGAAAGTTCATATCAAACATTACAACCCCAATGGTGCTCATTTTGTGGTGGGAATCACTTTGTGGAAAATTGTTACATGCTTAACCCCACCAACCATATCCCTCAACAACCTACTCAAGGATTTTGTGCCAACATGAGTCAAGCCACTTATCAAAGATGCACACCACCTACTCCACAACATTCATGGTGCATGATATGTGGTGGACCTCATGAGGTAGAAAATTGCTTCAACGTAGATCCCAATTACAAGTATCGAGGGCGAGCTCAAGAGTCTCTATACCAAGAGTTTCAACAAGATTGTCAACCACTTGACCAAACAATTGCGATGAAGTCCATAGAGACCAAGTTAATGCAATTGTGCTCGAAATATATGGAGCGACAAGCTGGAATGGATCGCATGATAGCTCAACTTGATCACACGCTGGCTCTATGGCAAAATTTGACAATTCAAGAGCCACTTCAAGATTCATTTAATGGAAATGTTCTAGAAGAGTTGCTTTTGCCAAATGAAGGTCATGATGTTGATAGAAATAAAAAGGATGATGAGGACCTTAGAGAGGGAGATGAAGAAATATTTGATGAATGCATTGGGATTAAGACACCAAGTTGGGAGGAAAGTGTAGAGTTGCAAGGTAATGGTGGCAAGGAACATATAGAGAGTTGCCCATTAGATGAGGAAGTTTTTAATGGAGAACATGATTTGAATTAGGATGTCTCACCAATGGAGAACACTTCCCTTGGAGAGAACTTTAGAGAAATTTTGAATTTGGGAGGCATTGGAGTTCTTAAGGATGATGGCACACATTTGCCTATCTATATATCCAATGATTCTCAATACTTGCTGGTTCATGTGAATGATCCAAGACTCTCATTACTTGTTGAACAAGAGAGTGTGGAAAAAGAAAGAAAAGAGAATGGAGGCATAATTCTTGATTCGGGCGAATGTGGTTCATTAATTACATGATGACGTGAAGGGTTCGAGCTTAAGAGAGTTTATAAATGGACACCACTTGAAGAAATACTTGGAAGAGAAAGTTGATGGAAAGAAGAGGATTTTTCTTCTCCAATCACTTGATGGTTAGAGAGGTAACGTTGAGCTAACGACGTTAAATTTAGCGCTTCATGGGAGGCACCCCATGTTATCTTTTATTACTTTCCTTATTTATTTATTGCTTTCTAGTTTCGTCTTATTTAGTTTTATTGCTTTCTAGTTCATGATTATTTTATTGCTTCTTAGATTTCTCTTTTATCTTGTTCTCCTTTTCTTTTATTTTGCATCAGGGACGATGCAAATTTTTAAAGTGTATGGGAGGAGCCATTAATTTGGGGATATTTTTAAAAATTTTAATTTTTTTTTTTGCTTTTGCTTGAATGACTCATATGCTATTTTTGGTGAATAAGTTACTTGTCTTAGCATGCAATTGCAATTACTCTCTCTTGTTGGTTAGTGGTTTGTTTTAGTGGTGCTTGCTGCATCTCAATATGTGAGGGATGATTTGAGGTGTAACACATAATTGATATATTCCCTTGCCAATAGCTTTATTAACTACTTAATAATTGGATTAATTATTGATCTTGTGTGTTATGCATTACTAGTGAAGGCTTATGTGAGATTTCGGTCATGAGTGTTTTGCTAGAACTTGCCTCATTACTCCCTAAGTTAAGTCTAAGTTTTGCATGTTTTGAAGTGAATTAGGCCATTTTTGTTTAGCCATAGCCTTTAAACCTGTCCCTATATATATTTTTATCCTTCGTGTCCCCATTGTGCCTTTTGTTTGTTCAAATAAGTGCTAAGCACTTATCCCCTCTTTGTGATTGTTTTTCTCTGATTTACCCATTATTATAACCCTTAGCCCTTGGCCAAATATTTCCCATCCACCCTTTGAGAGAATGAAACTTTTATCTTTATTATTTTTGTAAGAAGAGGTTTATGGAGTTATGCCAAAAAGCAGTTGATATTACAAATGTTCAAGTATTAAGGAATTGAAAGATTGGATTAAAATTATCTTGCAGTATTCAAAAGAAATCCAAAAAAAAAAAGAATGAAAAAAATAAAAAATAAAAAAGAGAAAGTTTGAAAGTTTTTGAGTGTGGATCCCCAC